GTATATATATTATATCTGGTGGATTGTTGGTGTGCCTTTGAAAGTACTGCCAAGTAAGATTCTTTACTCAGAAAAGTCTGTTTACTTGACTAGTACTCAGGAGATCATGACAACAGCACATTAATGTCAAAGCAGGGGAAGCAACCGATATCGTATCAGCTGCCAGAGCTGCTGTTGTCAAAGGTCTGTCAGCCCCTCCATTACAAACTGCAGTTGTCAAAGCTTTGTAACTCAACCGTAGAAGTTCAGTCTGGGCTACAGCTTGCTATACAAAGCTTCATCTTGGGAGCATCTTTTGCAGCTGTTTCAGAGCTACAGAAATAGAAAGAGGGATTTAGAAGTCTGTTTTTGACGCCATAAACAGATCCAGTGCAAAGCTGCCTTTAGTCTGCTGCGGTAGGTGCTGCTCGTGTGCACGCACAGGCACGGCGCGGTCCCTCAGAAATGGAGAGCATTTCATGGTGGACGTGCTAAACGGACCCTTAGGTCATTAGGCTGCTGTTCGGTTTGTGCACTGCAGCAAAAATCAGGGTACCAGGAGTTTGTCCCATGGGTTCTGTCCTGCTTCATTGCTGAATTCTGTTTTGTTCTCTGACAGAGAACCTAACTGTCCCACACTAGGTACTGGCATCAGGGGGGAAAGAGGATATGATGAACAGTCATGATTCTACGTCCTGATTAGAGCAAGTTCACCTAAACCCCCCACTACCTCCTGTTGAGCTCACTAAACTCGGCTTGACAGAGTCAGAGTCTAGACTCACAACTGTGATATGAAAACCTGAGAAACTTAAATGGTTATTTCAGCAGTCTTACATAATCAATATATTAAATATATGGCTATTGTTACTTGTTTACTGGAGTGGATATCATGTCAAAAATGTTTTATCTCAAAATATCATCATAGAAAATCACTTCAGAGTCACATCTTTGGAAGCGCACCGCAGAGATGCCCTTTTGCCTTTTACTCCGCAAAATGTTTCCTGAGCATTTCCTGTGCTGACATTTCCCCAAGGCTCTGTGGATCCTGTGCACAGAGATCGAAAGTTTCTGCCTTCACACAACTTACAGTATGATAAGAAGTTATACAGCAGTGATGAAAGTCATAAGAATTCTTGATCTCTTTTGAGATTTGTTGGGGGTATTTCAAGGGTTATTCTCCTATGACAGCAATACTTTGAAGGAAGGAGAACTTCGTTATTCAAGTACCCTGTGCACAGGCCACCTATTGGGCTGTTGCTATCCAGTGGCATCGGTTACAGGGTAGCTGGACCTGCGCACATTGGGTAGGGGTGGGGAGGCCCTACCTACGGAAGTTGTTGGAAGGGAACCAAAGTCTCCTCTGACTGCAAAAATCTCATCATCAACTGGTGCTGTTTCCTTTTCTGACATAGCCTGAGTTTCCCACCACAGGAATCCTGCCTCTGGAGAAGAAAATAAAGTCCATCCTAACTACAGATATTGGAGGGGAGGAACCATACTTCATCAGTCTTTATAGCCATGCGTGTCTTTACCCTGCCTCACCCCTCCTCCTAGTCTGTGGCCCAGAAAGGCCACTCCCTGAGCCTTCGACAAGGGTCGTGCTCCCTAAAACGCGCCTGTGATTAAGGAATGTTGCCGGCTGCAGACTCTTGCTCTGTGTCTGAGGATTGAAAGCTGGTTTCTTTGGGAGGTACCAGGGAATCCAAAGAGGTCACTGCTACCCATGTGTCCCTATCATCAAGCAAAACCAAATTTAGCAGCCTTCACCAAAGGCTGGTGAAAATGAATTTACTACTAAGAGGAAGAGGAGGAGAAAGGGTGGGAAGAGGAAGAGAGGTGGCAGCGGTTGGCCGGGAGGAGCTAATACGAACATTAACCACATCTCAGGCACTTTTCCAAGTGTTTATATTTCTTAGCACTTTCAATCCCCACATCAAATTTATAATGTTCATATCAAACTAGTAAGCAACAAAGCCAGATGGGAATATTTGCAGAATCTGTGCTCAAGCAATCTGCTAGGCAACAGAAGGAAGCCTGACTAGGAACCCAGGATATGTGAGTAATCATCAGACCAGGTTACCAGAATAGCTGGACCTCAGTGGTCTTCCGTCCCTGCCTCTACCAAATGGTAGATTTGGACCAGATGATGCGTAAGGTTCCTTGAAATGCTAACATTCCCTAGCTGCAATTCTTTATACAATGTGCTTATGTTGCCCTGGGTAAATTAACTAATTGCCACCTGAAAGGATCAGAGAATCTGCTCTTATAACTGGACAATATGCATACACAATATTTTTTTGTTGAATTAATAGAGAAAACGGTAAAAATGGGAGTCACCAGTGAGCGGCACTCTATAAAGAGTATAAAGAGTATAAAGAGTATGGAAGATTTAAAAAATAAATACAAGAACTTAGAGTCAGTGTTTTTATTTGGAAATTTGAGTGGTAGATCTTAATAACTGCAAGTAAAAAGCTTGCCTTGCTTGGATTATGAAAAAAGGAGTATATATATTATATCTGGTGGATTGTTGGTGTGCCTTTGAAAGTACTGCCAAGTAAGATTCTTTACTCAGAAAAGTCTGTTTACTTGACTAGTACTCAGGAGATCATGACAACAGCACATTAATGTCAAAGCAGGGGAAGCAACCGATATCGTATCAGCTGCCAGAGCTGCTGTTGTCAAAGGTCTGTCAGCCCCTCCATTACAAACTGCAGTTGTCAAAGCTTTGTAACTCAACCGTAGAAGTTCAGTCTGGGCTACAGCTTGCTATACAAAGCTTCATCTTGGGAGCATCTTTTGCAGCTGTTTCAGAGCTACAGAAATAGAAAGAGGGATTTAGAAGTCTGTTTTTGACGCCATAAACAGATCCAGTGCAAAGCTGCCTTTAGTCTGCTGCGGTAGGTGCTGCTCGTGTGCACGCACAGGCACGGCGCGGTCCCTCAGAAATGGAGAGCATTTCATGGTGGACGTGCTAAACGGACCCTTAGGTCATTAGGCTGCTGTTCGGTTTGTGCACTGCAGCAAAAATCAGGGTACCAGGAGTTTGTCCCATGGGTTCTGTCCTGCTTCATTGCTGAATTCTGTTTTGTTCTCTGACAGAGAACCTAACTGTCCCACACTAGGTACTGGCATCAGGGGGGAAAGAGGATATGATGAACAGTCATGATTCTATGTCCTGATTAGAGCAAGTTCACCTAAACCCCCCACTACCTCCTGTTGAGCTCACTAAACTCGGCTTGACAGAGTCAGAGTCTAGACTCACAACTGTGATATGAAAACCTGAGAAACTTAAATGGTTATTTCAGCAGTCTTACATAATCAATATATTTAATATATGGCTATTGTTACTTGTTTACTGGAGTGGATATCATGTCAAAAATGTTTTATCTCAAAATATCATCATAGAAAATCACTTCAGAGTCACATCCTTGGAAGCGCACCGCAGAGATGCCCTTTTGCCTTTTACTCCACAAAATGTTTCCTGAGCATTTCCTGTGCTGACATTTCCCCAAGGCTCTGTGGATCCTGTGCACAGAGATCGAGAATTTCTGCCTTCACACAACTTACAGTATGATAAGAAGTTATACAGCAGTGATGAAAGTCATAAGAATTCTTGATCTCTTTTGAGATTTGTTGGGGGTATTTCAAGGGTTATTCTCCTATGACAGCAATACTTTGAAGGAAGGAGAACTTCGTTATTCAAGTACCCTGTGCACAGGCCACCTATTGGGCTGTTGCTATCCAGTGGCATCGGTTACAGGGTAGCTGGACCTGCGCACATTGGGTAGGGGTGGGGAGGCCCTACCTACGGAAGTTGTTGGAAGGGAACCAAAGTCTCCTCTGACTGCAAAAAT